GAAGCTTTACAATTTGCTCAGATTGTGTGGTAAGGAAGGAAGAATGGAAAAATGAACATGTTTCTGGAAATAAGCTGAGCGTGGAATAATTTAGATATGTCTTAATAAACATTTTGTATGATTGAAGAAGATGTCTTAAAACCTCGGCCACAATAGTGAAGTCAGATTCCTCTCCGTTAAATCTTGAAGTAAAACCATTATATTATAAACATTTCTTTTCAATCATATACATCTTAATTTGATCTTATTTATCTCTTATGATGTTTGTGTGTTCGTAGCCTAATATCGCATCATATCCTGAAAAATTAATTTGGAATCAAACTCATTATTTATAATACGAAAATTGGCCAATTTACACGAAGAGAAGTGACAATGTCATAATTACCGAAAAGTTTGTAACAATTATTGATACATATTTGTCCTACTTTAGTTTGGACTTTTTCGTTGCCCGAGATATAATTGATATATATGGCGTTTCGGGAGTTGGATCTGCTTTCGCTTTCAGACATTCTGTTGCCATTTTACTGACAGATTTCTTATTGTTTTATATTATGTCTTTCTAACCTGGCTTTTGTCTGTTTCGGGACAAAGACAGTTTACTTATATTTTTATTTTAAATAATAATGCCAAGTATAATAATACTCTATTATAATAAATTTGTGAGATATAGTGTGTCAGGGTGTGGATGTAGCTCGGGCTAGAGGCTGGTGACTAGCTTTTTTGAACACTCGGGGAATTTCTGACTATCTTAGACTGTGTGTTTCTCAATAAGAAGTCTGCTTCGTGTAGATTTGAGGTTTTCACGGCAGTGAAGATAACAATGTTGTTCTTCTGGATTGTGACAACGAAGTCTGTAAAGATGGATACAGTAAGTTCTATGTTTCTGAAGCGTTGGAATCTACCTACGAGTCTACACGAGTTTGCACGGCGTCATGACCTAGAATCGCAACATCGTTCTTTGCTACATGGAGATAGTTACCATAAGCGAAAACGTCTCTTATCAACCGTCGAAAATCTGAATATTAGAATCCTACGCTTGACCTGGAGTCTTTTTTAGCATTTCAGTACAAAGTATGACGAACCCATGACAACCAGAATATTTAAAGTGTAAGTATGGTCCTTACAATGTTTACATTAGATTTTTAGAAGCTAAGCTGCTCATAGCAGCAACTTTGCCTTGTCAGATTCCTTAAAATTACTTATTTGTAAACACCTTTCCTCCTACCTTGGGCTGACGGAATGCACCTTTCCACAAAATGTCGAAAGTATTTGTCAAACAAAATTAACTTCAGGTCGTCAAAAGACTGATATAATGTAAATAAGATTTATGTTTGTCTCAGTGAGAAATGAGATTTAAGGTTCTCAAAGTGGGGAGTATGTTGATGGCTGTCTTCTGGATTGTTGGGCCGTGCAGTCTGATATAGAAAGTTCTATCAGACCAGCTATCTTTATATTAGTCGTCTTGAGAATCTTAAATCTATAAAGTAAACCTCTATGGGCAGGATAATCTTTGATGTTGGGAGCAGTGAGCAGCTCTAAAACATCGGTAAACATCTACCAGTCAACACGACGCAACGGCCCAGAAGATAGCCAACTTCTTTTTTCCGTAAGCTAAGCTTCAGTTCAATTGAAAACGGAATATACCCAGTACAATAGAATTCCGCATTTAAACAAGGTCACTGAATATATGACGTTTTGACCAATGGTTGTCATGTCAGTGATGAAATATTGATAAGAATTCCAAAACTGCCTCCGCCCTGTGTTAAGGTAACTACAGTTTGAATTCATTCAGTGATCGTGGTTCATTGTCCGTCATCGTCTCTCAGTACCAAACCGATAAAGACAGGTTCAGATATTGTTGCTGAGAAACGAACATTTAACGCAGAAAGCAGAGAACTTCAGACTTCGTCTTTGCTACACTTCGTTGAACGTAGTTAATACCGTCATTTATGGTGGCATCTTTTATTTCTTTTTTTACATTCGAGAACTCTCTTCCGCTCTGTTCACTGGTGCGTGTATACGCCTGACTCCTCGCATAAAACGTCCGCGTCATACTGCGGACGTGCCCACCTGACTGTCACTGTCAGATTGTACACCTTCTCGCGCTGTTGCCTTATCCTCTTACACAGCTTTCGAGGGGCGTGTCTTGGACATCGCAGAAAGTTGCAGCTCGAAATTCTTGACTGTAAGCTCTTCTGAAATATTTATCACCACGTTTGTAACAAATCAAAAATACGTGGTAATAGATCAAATCTCAGTTTAGTAAATAACAAGCTGAAGCAGTCAAATATAATCGAATGGTATTTAACGACGCTTTCAATAGCTCAGTCTAGAAAGCGTCGAATGAGAGGATAGGAAATAATGAACTTGTGGATGTGGATATAAACGGTCGTGGCCTAATTTAATGTGTTCTCTTAGGGATTTTAAAGAAAGGGATGAGGAAACCCACGAAAAATCTTTGTCAGGATAGTCGGTCTCAGGATCGAGATTTAAACTCGAAAGCTCCCGAAAACGAAGAAGGCGTGTTCGAATGGTATCAGTACGATCCATAAACGTGATGTACACCCGACCTTGTTTATTTGGTACGTCGAACAAAATCGATTGATCAGGACGAAAAGTTCTAAATTATCCTTTTGTCTGTAAACGCAATCTCTCTCTGATAGAAATAGGGCGTGAACTGGATTCAACTTGCTCAAGGCAAGGACCTCTGGCGGGCTAGTGTCTTCTTCTTCTTGTTTTCTGGCCGTAATATGGACTGGGTAGGTAATCCGAAAGGGCTTTTGTGAAAACGCTAGTGAACCCTCGGGTTATTCAAGGATTTGTACAATACAGACGTAATTTTATGTAAGCAACGTGTCGGGTGGATGACTCTGTAAAGTGCATGCAAAAGCGAAGTAGATTATTAACAGTGTTTTAATATAACAGTGTAACAAATGGCTGGTGATATTGAATGGAAGAGACGGTGTTTTATCGTACCGTCACAGAATCATGGAGCTTAGCAAAATTAGTTCTACTAAATCGAATATACTTCACGGATATTGTTCTTTCTTTTGGATTATTGAATTATCTTGCAAATGAAATTGCGTGTTACGTCTTTATCTGATGATCAGTAATGTGGCTTCGAAATATTTACACAAGCAATACCTTTATTAATTGCAAGAACATTACAGTGTCAGTATAAAATAATCCTAAAATAACATTTAGGGGAAAACTGCAGAAAAATATGAGAATGGCTTTCGAATTAAATTTTGCTTTTCATGAGGCATATTATATATTTCATAGGGGTTTATACCAAGCTTGATTTTAAAACAAACAAAGTCGTATTTAACCAGTATACTCAACACAACCGCAACCCAGTCAGATACTGGGTCTCAACTGATAGACAAATTTTATTTCAAAACGCGTCACAATCACAAAGCTAACAGACATACATTTTATTTACTGATAAATTAATCACAGTTGAAGAGTCATGAATACAGATTTGTCGGTAATAGTTAGGGTTCATACATAAAAACATATTTTCACTGTGTGCACAACACCTGATGTAAATTTCATACTTAAGACAACAAAATAAATATAATTTTAAGTAGACACATATGTCATCAAGAAGATGTCAACATTGATGCGTATCGTTACAGAACAGCAATATATATTTACTTTGAGCAGTGTGGAGATGAATTACAAATTTCAGCATCAGAACACTGAATAAATAAATAAAAATGTGTGAGTCCTGTGAGAAAATGAGTAAATATAATTATGTAATGCTGTGTCGACATCCGTTGTCTCGCTGTTTTGTCGAAATTTTAAATATAACAGGGGTACAAGTTTTGCAGAAATGTTTTGGTCCTCAGCCATTGAAATAGCTGCGAAGTGAAGATAATGAAATATGAATTTCTGCTTTTGGCAAACGTGACAAAGACATTTTGCCAAAAAAAAAACTGTTGATGTAATATGAATAAAGCTCGGCTTCCAGAACAAACCTAGCCGTTCACCATCAGACACGGTGATGTAAAAAATCACGTCCATAACATGTTCCTTACGGACTTCGACAATACATGTTGGATGCTGCCAAGTTTAATCAATTTTTGAACTTGAGACATTTAGAGTTTTTAAAATTGTTATAAATAATTTTGTGTATTACCACATGTAAAGGCGACATTAAATAAAATTATACAAAAATGTATGTTTTATAGCAAATAGTCCACTTGGGTGCGGTGAAACCTGACCACTGTATAATACGCAATGGATAGCTTTGACCCTTTGAAGCCGAGACTTATCTACATAGTACTTAACAATTTAGCACTTACCTCAAATAAATCACAACACTTCACCATTATAAAGATCAGCTAGTTAATGCTGTTTAAAGAAATAATTGGTGTTTACAGTGACAATCATATGAAACCCTTACGTACGAAATGTAGAGCTATTGATTGTTAAAGCATTTGGTACATTTGATTACCACTGGGTTTTAAAGGGCTAACATTAAAAGTGACTCAAGTTGCGTTACTCATTATTATTACGAAACATCACAGAACAATATGTAGGATTCCTACTTGTAAAACATAACACAACCACTCATAATTATACATTCCAAAAAATAAGACCAATAATTTTATAATACAGTGGGATGTAATATAATGTACCATTTCAATGATGGGTAATACATTTCACTTGGATTCTTGAAATGCAGCGAATTTTCAGAAGTGTAAACAATTAAATATTTATGTGTTTTTTCCTGTATAGCATATTGTAAACAATTAAATATTTATGTGTTTTCCTGTATAGCATAAACATGAAGGATCACTCTTACTTTGATATATTTCATACATATATTTTTGACATATTTTATTTTGATGAATTTTTTTCTGAAATTAGTATAATAAAGAATATTCAGACCACAAATGTTGTAACACCCGACGTTCGCGTTGTTGCTGGGCCTTTGTTTTCCTGTCGAATAAAATACGGTTTCTATTTTTATGTGTATATTCATTATGTAAGTTCTCGCTCGTCTAATAAAAATGTGAATATCTCTGTCAGTATTATCATCGTATTTTTAAAACGTGTAAATCAATGTCACTTCATAGACTGCAGGTAATTTATTATTTACAGTAATATAAACACACTCTTCTCAGCCTATAATTACTCTCTTATCTTTTAAAACGCCAATATTAAAAAAAAATATACGTACTGCTTTCTGTATGTCATCACGTGGGTAGGTGATATGTGTTTAATTTTGGTGATACACGTATGGAGAGAATAAGGAAGGTGAACGATTTTGGCCAGCACTCAACTCTCACGCTCATGTACGGAATTAATTATATAAAACCACCAATAAGTCATTCTTGGGCACTAAGTTCTCCATTTGTGATAGACACCTTTACTGATTGTTGGTCTGACGTCGCAGATTCCAAATTCTGGTTGGTGTCAGATGATTGTTCCTGAAAAAAATGCAAAATCTGCATCTTACATACAATTATTTTGTGTATACACAACATAGTTCCATTGTTATAATAAGAAAATAATGTTAGGCTAGTGAAATTATTAACTGATCTTAGTATTATATAACATAAATAACTGTTGTAAAATTCTTTTGAAATTAAACGGAAATTTAAGATGGCTGTCTTCTGGGTTGTAGCCCCGTGTAGTCTGGTAGAAGTTTGCCAACGTTTCAGATTTTTGAAACCAGACTGCACTGCTTGTTTGCTTTATCCAGTTCATATTTTCTGTCCTTTCTCAGGACCCCTGTCATTTTTTCCCTCCGCATTTCCCTCTTTTACTTTAGGCTGCGTAAATTGTTGTGAGACTTACAATATGCAATGCGCTTGTGATGCACGCCTGAGCAGTTGACTCTACAACCATCAGGTCCTCGAGTTCTTTGTCGTGATGCGTGTCGTCAGGATCATCCAGAAGGTCCTTGGTCTTTCCCATCTCCGGGGAGGTTAAGTTGTCTTCACCAGATAATTCCACCACGTCGTCGTCTTCCGGAGTAGGCGTGTCTTCACGAACTCTCTTCTTCGCCTCCTACCAACACAAAGATATGAACACAAAGCTTGTCAAATAATAGCGTTCGTCAATTGCTGCTCGTTACCTTCATGACAGGAATGTTAAAGAGCTTGAGTAATTTAGGAAAACTGTCTTCTAGATTGTCGCTCTGATGATAGGGGCAGCAAACACTGCCGAAACGTCGGCTAATTT